CCCGTTTGCTGGCTCCCTGCTCACTGGCAGAGACATGGGCAGCCTAATAAAGAAATGAATGGGAATAAATCTATTCAGTGGCCGCTGCTGACCTTTGCGCGTGAGTCTCAGTGGTGTCTGTGGCACCCAGGCGGTTGGCATTATGATTGGTATGCGACATTACACTACACAAAGAGGCAAAACACGGAACTACAAATTGGTTGCACACAAAAAGAAACAGCAGTGTCAGTTTTCCAAACGAGTTGGCTCAGATTCCAGCTCGCTCTGCAAATGAGAGCGTGCTAAAGTTCATGCATCATCACTTAGAGGATGCCAAGATAAATCAAGGACAGGTAAACGCAAAGAGAGGAGTCATTTAACAACATTTAACAATAAGGTTCCAGAGACAGATCCTATCTGCTTGGTTGATGAAGAGCCACTGTTGCTGTTTCTAGATTTAATTAAACTCTCTAACGTTTTAATCTTCAACGTCGGTGCTTCGGCTGAGTCATCGCTGACAGATGCACCGCCGCCACAATTCAATAAGAAGGCAATCTCAGTTTGTAGGCAGATCACAGGAAGCTTACACACAACTTATGCTCTGTCATTTGAGTCATATGTATATTTCCCAAAGACAAGACAGCAACTCTCTCATAGACATTGCCATTAAAAGACAGCAATATAAAGGTTTGTGGCCTTCTAGAAGAATACGGACGTTTGTACACACTTAACACTCAATGTCCTCCATCAGTCCGCACACACACTCAGCTACACGTAGATTCGGCAAATAACAGCCCTGTGTGTGACTCATGACAAAGTGCAGTGCATAATTATGATTGTCAGAGAGAGTGAGAGGGCCTCCCATTCTGAAAAACACAGGGTTGAAAGCACTTCAGAGCCATTTACCAGTGTTTCAAGGAAAAACTGTTCCAGTTTTGACATGCTTTGATTTGCGGGCTTTTATTTGGATCTTGTAGAAAAGGTAAAATTCACTATACATGTGAAAATGAAAAAAAAAAAAAAAGATAAGAAAGAAAATCAGAAAGTGGGCTTGAAAATAACACAGATAAAGCTTACGCTTTCAGACGCAATCAGACTATACTAGGGGACCCCTAGGTATAGCTGGAGTGGAAACTGCTGTCAATGAGGAGCAAGGAACAGCTAACACTAAAGCGGACTTAGCAGGACATCTGAGAGCAGCTGAAGATCAGTAAGTCATTGCTGTGCACTGACTGTAGCACAGATTTCTGCTGTCACTGGGCTAAACCGCACATGCAGACACACCAGCAAAAGACGACAGAAATGAACAAGCAGACAGGAAGAAGGACAGAGATTCAAGCTCTTCTCCAAAGCCAGCAACACCACCTTTAACACCTTCTCACCTGTTCCACCTCTCTGAACCAAGAGGCAGGTCTCAGCTCCCACAGGGCACTCCTTGAGCAGCTCCACCACCTGTGTGTGACCGAATCCCTGCACGGGCTGCTTGTTAATCTCCACAATCAAGTCGCCCTCGCACAGGCCCGGGCAGCCCTGAGGCTCCAGGACTTGTTTAACACGCTGACCTGTGGCGCTGTCCGCAATCGTGAAGCCAAACCCATCCACGCCCTTCACCATGGTCAGGGTTAGTAGCTCCCCCTGGGTCGCGCCCGATGATGCCATAGAGACGCTGTCTGGTGGCGTAGTACCCGTGGTGGGAGGAAGCGAGCCATCTAAGTGGGTGTCCGCTGGGTGACCGGTGAGCAGCTGCTGCTGGGCGCTGACCGGGTCTTGACTGGGGTCTGTAACAAAGCGTGCCGTGCGGGTGAGATAATCTAGGTAGTTATCGTAGCCCGTCCTGCCGTTCACCATAATGGGCCGCTGCTCCATGATGCCCAGTGGGGAGATGATGGTGGTGGTGTTGTTGTTGGTGTTGGCAGCTTCCTCTGGCTCATACGGCAAAGGATAACCGCGACATAATACGAGGGTCACGCTTTGGCCAATAGGTACAGACTGGAAGAGTTTCACCACATCAGCATGGGTGGTACCCAGGACGCACACATCGTTGATGTAGACAATAACATCACCTGCAGAGAAAAAGCATGGACAAAAATATAGTGGTTAGGCATAATGGAGCTGGAACATTAGAAATAATGGGCACAGACATGGGTGGTTAAAGGCGATTAATCTCAAGAATTGTAATAAACAGAAGCCACGTTCAGGCTCTTTTTAATTTTATATTGTACTTTAATGGCACATAAAATTACAATTAAAACAAAAGGACCCTGAACTGAACCAAATTGCCATAAATCTAATTGGGCAAAGTTAAAGAGTGACTTCAAAGTATTAAGTGCTTTTCTTTAAAAAAAGAAAGAAAAAGAAATCACAAAGAAAAAATATTAAATATTAAAATTCAAATTTAAGCTCTTCATCATAACCTTGGTCAATGGAATTTCAGTTAAAACCACTTCATTTAAAAGAAGACTTATTCAGTCTGCAGAAATTCGACAGCAGTGTTCTGGGTCCTAGTTGTCTCACTGCAGAGCAATAAAAGACCCCCAGCACAGAACAGACGTACTGATTATGACACAACAGAAACAGCAGGAAAAAGCAGGTGTTGGGGTGGAGGTAGTTTGCAGGGGTACCAGCAACTGTATATGGGCTAATGGCTCAGTCACACCAGAGTAAAGAAAGGTTGTAATCTCTTTGCAAATAGGATAAATTGGTGGCTGCCTGCTGATTGCACTGAATTTTTTCACATTTGGCAAGCACTTGTGGCAAACAGCTGGGCAACTGCCTTCAGTTGCAATGTGATGGCAATTTAAGGCAACCTATTTCCATACAATTGCACTCCAACTCAGACTGACAGCAACCACTCTCAGAAAGACTGGCAAAAGTTTGCAAATAACAAGTGTCTAATTTATAAATGCAGATGCGTCGTCAACAATGTTTAAATCAATCCGAGTGTAGATCAATGAGCCCAGTTCATCTGTGTCTCTTTGGTACAGGGGACTCGACTGGCTGCCAACTGTTTGCATTCTGGTGATATTTCTGTAAAAGCATTGTTGCTAAGCACCTGTGTCATTTTGCATGTAATTCGCAGTCCTGCAACAACTACATCACCCTTTGCGGAGTAACTTCTGTTTCAAATCAGGCTTTGTGGGGACTTTGAATGTAATTAGTTAATGTCATTTTCTGGTTAACCTCTGTAGATGTAGATGGCAACAGATTTGTGATATTTGCCCATTTATCACAGTTACTCACTGTATTATTGCAAACAAATTGCATGTAATTGCCAATTTGAACCCATTCAATCACAAACCGATAACACAGAGACTCGTATCTTATTTTCATTTTATCACCACCTCCATGCACCAAAGTTGCCATGAGGATGACAGCTGAGTGTGAGTGGTTGTAGAACTGGTCCCCATCTTTAAAGCAACCAAAGGCAACAAGACTGCAAGTTCATTGCATACGATCATAATAACTTTCATCACGCCACAGTCTCCAATCACTGCTTCCTCTCGTTCAATGGCAGCATAAGCAGCTTAAATTAGATTTATCAATGTCATGTGCAGAAGAGTATCAGCAGACCCATCAGCTGATGGACCCTGGCTGGTACTGAATTCAGCTGATTGTAGCCAATGTACAGGGACTATAGACTGCCCAAACAATGCTAACAATCTGTCACACTTCTATAAAGGCAGTGGTGATTTAACAGAACAGAAACAGCTTACCATAGTGGAGAAAATCACTATAACATGATACAAAAAAGGGGTAAGCAGGAAAAATGACAGCTACAATAGTGAAATATTGTGGGCTAACAATATACATATGGGAAAAGCAATCATCACGGAAGGGCTTGAGCCTATCCCAGCTGTAAAAAAGAGAAAGGAAGGGTACACCCTGGATGGACAGGTAACCAGACAATTTACTCCTAGAGCCAGTTCAGCATTACCTGATATCCTTTACTGTGAGAGGAAGTTTGGAATCAAGCAGGCACGCTCTACACAGACCCTACCACGGTGTCACTCCAGAAATCATTATTATGTAGAATATCAAATATGCGGAAGAGCAGCTGGCCTGGATTTAATATCAAGACTTCATCTCTCTACAGCTATTCACATTCTCAGCTGTACGCTACATCTGCACTGTCTCTCCTCAGATGGCTTGCAACTATAAACCATTTCTACAGATAAACATTACCACCGAAAATGTCTCAGCTGCCTTTTAAGTATAAAATAGTGCATATGACAAGTGGCTAAAATGTTTGCCTTTTATGGTCCCAAGTGGTTTTATTTGCTTGCTGCAGTGTACTGCACTGTAGATAAAAACCAAGCCAACAATTAAATGTTCCCACACAAAAGCTCTCAACATCCAGGCTTATCTTTTTCTCAACCAGATTACTAAATATAGTGTTTTCTGCTCCACTGTGGAGGAACCATGCAACTTTTTTTAAAACTCTGGGTAAGTGGGACTAAGAAGCACAATCCACATTAAAGTCTGACAAACAGCATTACCTGGGTTGATAATGAAAACAATTATATTCTAATTGCAGCCATAATTGTCATGCTCTTTGGAGAGAGAGCAGGGTGACACTGTCAGTGTGCATTGTAAAGAGAAGGTGTGAAAAAACAGCGATCTTTTGTGATTAATAAGCAAAGCATGTGCTTTAGTGATTGGCTCTCACCTTGCTAACCACCCTGCCCAATTCTCATAAAACGTGAACAGCACTAATGGCTGGTTCAATTACAGTTTTTTTAATTAATTAATTAATTTTTACAAAAACAAGGCAGTTTTTTATTGATTTTCTGGATTGGCTGTGGAACTGCAACCGAGCAGCTAACCCCTCTGAGTGACAGCACACGTGGAAGTTAAAATATCACCGAAACGCTGTCTATCTTTGTAAACCATGTCTCAAAAGCTTTTCGAGTTTAAACGCTCTGCTGGTATTGACAGAGCCAGCTCACACCTCTGGGCAATGTGACGTGAGGGACTTTTTAATTAATCCGGGTAAACGTAGCCGACATTTGCCTTGAGCATCAGTGTCAGAATCAATAGTTGAGCACACTGGCAGAAAACAAATGATGGTGCTGTGACCTCATGGCGCCCTCAAACCGCACATGTATCTCATTCTTTATAACCAGAGATGAAACGCAGATAAACCATCAACAGACACAGGCGGGTAGGAACTGTGATATAATCACGTTTTACCAGGAATCTTTATTCCTAAAAGATGGATTTCAACTTGACACGTGTGTGCCAAATTCTTCCCTATATCCATATAGAAGTGACATTAATTTTGTTTATTACAAATTGCATAAGAGCGACTCAACAACTCCTCCAATAGTTCCCCTGTTACTCTGAATCTGTGTCCCCAAACCTTTTTGGCTCATTATACTTTAAAATGATGAAAACCACTCAATGATTCTCAAAAACAGAGAGTGCACACTCTCATATACTCAGAAAAACAGTTACACAAAGCACAGGTGAGCACTAATCATAGGTCGATACGGCTGGCATGATAACAAAGCAAAAATAGCTCTACAAATAATTTTTACCTGCTTTATTTGATCTACTCATCAACTACTTGTGGCTTCATGGAGTAGCGGTTAGCATAGGAAACAGACACAGCCTGTGTACTCCTACTGCCCATCCCAGGCCCGGATAATTAGGAGGGATGTATCAGAAGAGCATGTGGGGTAAAATCTATGCCAAATCAAATATGTATAGCCACCCACTGCGGTGACCCCTTGGGAAATAATGGAAAAACCAAAAGTACCGCATGTATTTTTTCTACTACTGTAGAAAAAGCCCATGCTACAGCTTGATTGGACTGTTTGTGTTTTTATAAGGTGATAAAGTGTTGCACGTGCATAAGTAAAAAAAAAAGAAAGAAGAAAAATAGGTCATTTTAGCTCATAGCTAGGTGGTTGCTAGGCAACATGATGATGTTACTATACATTCTGTACAAATAAGCTTTTGTGAATATAAATCAAATGTTACTGTTGAGAAATTAAAATGTCAGTTTGCATCCATAAGGTGTTGTCGGTACATAAATTAATAATTTTAAAAAAACTTTTAATTTTAGCTCATTGCTTGGTGGTTGCTAGGTAACATGATTACATTATAATATCTGATATAGATAAGAGCCTTTAGCGGCTTAAAATGTGTGCCATGTTTTGCACACACACAGACAAACAGAAAACTGGTATATTGTTGGTATAAAGGTATCAATTAGAAATGACTGTTTATGAGACAAAAAAAAGCCAAGATGCAAAGCTTCAGTTTTAAAATAAGCTAACAAATATAACAAAAGCTAGCTACTGTATTGAAATAAGTACAACTTTGCAAAAGGAAATGTGAAATGAGAAGCAGTTGCACTGTGTAAATCTGTCTGAAACCAATGAACCTTTGAAACCAAATATTCTGTCACAACTTAACCTCCGTATATTTAATTTGAATTATTATTCGGTAAGTGTTATTACTGAATAGCTATATCCCTGAAGAGGAATGTCCATTCAGTAAAAATGAAAGACAAGAACATTTATTTACTTAACATTTTTAGGGAGCAAAACTCATTTTTGTTCTTTTTTGCTATTTAATTAAACACATCAAGAGCCTACTGTCATTTTACTAAAAGAGCAATTTTCCATCACCATGAGCAGAACAAATTAAATCCATGGGAAAAGTGTCAAAATATCAGCAGATAAAACAAATTATTCACGGGGATCCAAAGAAAATGATGTATTTTTGCCATTTCGGTGAAACAAGGACAAATAAACAAACATGGCCACGAGCACGAGAGTGGAAAAACAGGAAAAAATTGAATCATCAAGAATGAGAGCTCAGACAGCAGCCCACACTAATTAAAACTGCCCTCGTTCTCTCGGCCCATTACAAAAGCTCCTGCAGGTCCCTTAAACAGTCCACATCACATTGACCTTATCTGTACACACCACGCTCAGTGGGACCAAGGCCCACGCTCCCAGCTGCTTCATCTTCATTGTCCCATCCTTGCACATTCGTTATGACATATTCATCTCCATCTAATGGTGTGCTCAAGAGTCTGTCAACATAACGAGAGTTCTCTGTGGCCCTGCTGAGAAGATGAGGCCACGATAACAGAGCAGTTAAGACTCTCAGCAGGGTGGGCCGTGGTACCGACTGTGGTCGTCTGAGTGTCTGTGTGCGTCAGGCTAAATGTTAAAAACAAACAAAAAAAGAAGTCAAACAGCTTATGGAGGTAGTGTACTTTCCCTTTTTTCTTACTTTTTCGTGCAAGAATGAATTGAAATTAATTGTAAACAGCTATAACACAAAATCAGGATAAAATATTATTTCTTGACATGAGAAAAGCCTAACTGTAAGCTTAAAGTTATAATTTTTGTACTGTGTAAGGTGACACGTGATTTTAAGCACACTATGGCCATTTTGACTGAATGCCTTTAATGATAATAAAGGTACACCTGGTTAACTGCTCATTGATTCACATATCTAATCAACCAATCACAATGCAACAACTCAGGAACAGTGCATTTAGTCATGCAAACATGGTCAAGATGGGATCCACTTGTTACACCCAAGTTAAGCAAAAGAGCATCCCTGAACGTATAACAGGTCATAAACAGGCAGATGGGATACATCAGCAGAAGACCACATCAGGTGCCTCTCCTATCAGCTGAAAACAGGGAAGCAAGGCTATTATTCCCATGAACTCACCAAAATTATACAAATGAACAAAAAGGTTTCGTGTCTGATGAGCCCAATTTCCCAATTTCCTCCACGGTCTCAATCCAATAGAGCACATTTGGGAAGTGGTGGAACAGGATATTCTCATCTTGATGTGCAGCTAAAAAATCTGCAGCAATTGTATGACACTATCCTGTCAACATAATCCAAAATCTCTTGATGAATGCCACAAAGAACTAATGCAGCTCTGAAGGCAAAAAGGGGAGTCCAACCTGGTACTAGCAAGGTGTATCTAATGATCTATCACTGTATGGGAAAGAATTTAACCAACAGGTTGCTAAACCTTTTTTAACTTACTGATTAGTTAAGATTTTTTTTCATTGCTGTCTTTGTCTCGTGTTTTTCATAAATCTTTTTTTCTTAAATAAAAAACAACTAAGCAAATATGGCAGCCTTATCCAAATAGGCCATACACTGTAAAACAAGGGTTGACTGTCCTCCACCTACAGACCCATTTCATTTCACATTAAACACTTTCTGCCTCTGACATTCAAACCAAGCCTCTTAGCTTTATTTTACATTAAAAAAATTATGGCTAAAAAGAATTATTTTCTCTACACATCAAGCAATAAAATGGAAAAAAAGATCTACAGTACATTTGGTCTTATAGGTAATATATATACATATATAAATATAATATATGTAACTATCATACATATGTTTTTGTAGCTGCGCAATCACACAGTACATAGAGATAGCCAGGAGGTGTCATAGGGAAAAACCGGCAGGAATCAGTTATCTAAAATTGGGAATTTCACACCTCTGCCGGCCTGGGCTTCCTCCGTGTAAGCTCTGAGTTAGCAAGCTAGCACTGTTCCTGAAGAAGTAGGACACAAAGTCTGTGGAGGCAAAGTTGGGGGAATGGGTGGGGGAGTACAGAAGGATATGAGCTGACAAGAGGAAGTGGTGAAGAAGAGATGTGTGATACAGTAGTAGCGAAGTGGGAAGGATATTTTAGTTATTTTGGGGGAAAGAATACATAAAAAAGAAATGGGAATTGTAAAACAAAGCAGGAGGATTGGACGAGAAGACACAAAACCCAAATGCTTTATATGCAGAACTATCGGGACAAGCTTTATTAGTCACCAAGGGATCTATTCTGGGCTGCTGCACCAACACATTTGTAAAAAAAAAAGAAAAGAAAAAAGAAAACAGAACAATTATGAGCTAGTGTTCTGCAGAAATCTGTTAAAACATTGGTGTTTTGGAGAGGAGCATTACTACAGAGGAAACACCTTGACCAGCTTGCTTTATGTGTGATAAATGACCACTATAAGCTCTGCATTTGCTGCAGAGTATAGAGACAGACACATCACTGCATACTGAGAGCATGACAAGCTGGCTACTTCTAGTCCCTTGACCTTTCAGTACAGATGGTTTGCCTCTGTGTGTGTGTGCATGTGTGTAAGTGTGCTGCAGTGCGACCCCCCTGTGGCCACAGCCCAACGTTGTGGGGCTTATAAAGTCCCTTTCATGATTAATGAAAGAACAAAACTGCAGTTGGTGCACGGGCACGTGCATATGTCCACACAGAGAGCTAAGACAATGCAAGCCTGGCAAGCTGCACCAGCCAAGAATATATGTAAATGGGTAATCCTTGGAAGTGTGTTTGAGTGTGGACCCAGTGCCATTTCCTCTTGAAGAGGAAGCTCCACATATTTCTGCGTGAAGAAGTGGAGGAAGACGTACTTGGATGGTTTCGAGTAAAAGTACCCAAGTTATTCTGGAAAAAAGTAAATAATACAAAATACAAAACCCCACCAAAACACTTGGCTTGGATCCAGAAAACACACAACACAATTATTAAACCTCAGTTTCTTTTTAAAATACAATAGCTTTAGACTTGAATGAATAACATAAACACTGAAGGACAAACAAAGGATGTCTGAAAAGATTTGGGGACCCTATTTGGAAGTCTGTAGGGGATGTGGATCTAATGGAAAGTCAACTGGATTAGTGGTTTGTTGTGAACCATGCAGTTTTATATTTATTTCTTTTGTAATTTAAAGGAGAGGGCTTGTGTGAACTTGAACACAGCCATTGCTCCACTTGTCCTCTGTCTTCAGGTGAACACTTTCTTGAGGATGTGGATTTTCATGTGCTGAACGGGAGGAGTAGGTTGTTTTGTTTTTGCATTTGATTAGTTCTAGAAGTAAAACTGCCCTTTCTTAAAAGGTACGCACGTTTGTGTTTTGTTTGGGGTTTTTTTTTTGTTGAGTAACTGGGTCCATCCCTTCTCTTCCACTTGTCCTTATCAGGGTCCTTGTGAGTGGGGCTCTAGCCTATCCCAGCTACCACAGGGCAAGTAGTGGTGTCCACCAGACAGTAACCAATTGCACTCACATTCACAGCTAAGGGCAATTTATAATCACAAATTAGCCAAAACCCCACTAACTGCATCTCTTTGGGAGGAAGCCAGAGTACCTGGAGAGAACTCACGCAAACATGGGTAGAACATGCAAGCTCCACACAGAAAGCCTCGGCCAGATGGTGGGGTCTAACTCAGGGGGAGCAACGCTAACCACTGCGCTGCCCGAGTAACCGGGTCATAATATTATATTTAATGACATGCATACATATCTCTATCAATAAAACTCAAACCAAAACAGTGTAAATGGATATAAAGCATCAAGTGTGAATGTGAGTTTGAATGGTTGTATGTCCCTCTCTGCTAGCTCTGCAATAGCCTGGTGACCTATCTGTGGCATACCCTGCCTCTCGCCCTGTGACAGCTGGGATGGGCTTCAGTGTGTCTTGTGACCCTGAATCAAATAAGTGGAAGAATATGAAAGGATGGCACTGACATGCAAGAAGCAAAAACTGCAGCCGACTGGGGTCGAGCTCCTTTTACTGGCAGTATAATTCTGTATCATTCATAATGTCAGTTTTTTTAAGCTGGCATGCAATTAGCTGCGTTCCCTTTGAAATATCATTACAAGCATAAAGTTCTATACAACAAAAAACCTCAAGGGGAGCTCAGGTAAGCACTGCTGTGAAATAGATACTATACTGTGTGCTGCTTTAATGAGCTTTTATTTGACTTTGTTTAGGCTGCACTCTGAAAGAAAGGCTGACCTCATTTCTTTCACTGCATGCTGATATATAGAATAGATACTGCAAGCAGAAAGGCCACATATAATTGCTATTCTCTGCAACAATCCGTGAGCACGATCGTGTGCAAATGCATGCCAGCCATGAGAAATGCCATTATTTTAAATTTGCAAGGATAATTTATCTACGTGACCTTCAGCTTCTAGTTTATTGAGCAGAGATCATCGTTTGGTGTCTGTGTGTGAATACGGCTATGGATTACGTACTTAACACTGCCTCAAGAGAGCTCCTGGTTAGCTACAGGTAAAGAAAAGTGATTCAGTGAAAATAGCCTCTCTCTCAGTTTGTGTGTCAGTCATGCCTGAAGCTTACCTGTAGCCATCTTTCCATCTGCTGCGGCGGGCCCATCGGGGATAACGCTTTTGACCTGGAGGAATTCATCGGGCTCATCCCCTCCAATGATAGTGAAGCCAAAACCCATGTTGCTCTTTTGGAGTGATGTGGACAAGAAACTGCCTTTCAGCTGGGTGGGGTCCCGCGTGAACAGCGGCTTCTCTACAAAAGGATAAAAACAAGCAAATTAAATAAAATGTCTTTCCCTATAGCTTTTATTGCAATCACTAAAAGGCCCTAAAAGCTGGTGCAGGGGCAGCGCTCACAGGGTGGGGGGCAAGGGCAAAGCTTATTCAATAAGATACGGGTGTAGCCAGAGGAAAACTGGAAGGGTATGACCACAGTAGCAAAACAGCAAACTCGGACAAAGGCGGTGTTGAAAGATGCAGGTGTGGTTCAAACGTTTTGCCTCCCGTGCAGGGCACCAGTGCAATCCAAGTTCCTCTTGGCACACCGAAAATACACTAAACTGACATTCTGTCCTCGCCTCCCATGCTGGGACACAGTGGGCAGAAGAGGTGCAGACAGCCACAGTGGTGCAGTTTCTTCAGTTCCATCCCAAATTTGCAAAGAAAGCAGCAAAATTCAGCAAATGCCATGCTGCCAATCAGGGATCAGTTCCAGGAGAAGATGCTCAGGGAGGTTAGGGAAGAACTGGGAGATTTCTGAAGGAGGAAGAGCTGGGAAATTTTCTGATGGAGGAGCGCCTGGAGTCGGAATGAGAGGATCTCTGCCAACAAGCTTAGTCACACTTAACCAAGTCCCTCATCTTTTTGACTCGGAAAAGAGACATGGCTAGCGTGCAACTTTGCATCCTTTGTAAGCAGTCACTGGTCCAGACTAAGCGATGCCCCTCTGTACCTGCTCTTCCCAGGTGATAGGGCAGGTGACAGGGCATGGTCACTGCACAAAAACTACCTCAAGGGAACAAGCTTGCCTGCCAGTTACCATGCTTACAGTGCGTCAAACAAGCGAAGAGTCAGCCTCCTGTGCATCTTTCTTGGCCTACTTACTGACAAAGTGCCACAGGGTGTAGGGGCTACAGACTGGCTGCTCTAGCACTACAGCGCAGGCGGATGTGTGAAGGGGCTGCTGTTTCTGCTTGTGATTGGGGCACATATTCATCCGCCGAGTCAGAACACGCCGGAGCGGGGAGACATCGGCGGAGGAGGATTTGGTATACGAAGCAGTCCTGCAGCCCAGAGCTGGCGAGCGGGAGAGGTCGCTGAGGCTATGGCAGCGCTCGGGCACCGGGCCGACCTGGACGTGGGGGGATCTGGGGAGGGTGGCACAGGGGCTGGCATCCTCCACTGGTGTCAAAGTTTGAAGGGAAAAGAAGGAGGAGAAGGAAGAAGGAGGCAGAAGTGGGTAGAGAGGAGGAAAAAGAGCCTCACTGGACTGAACAAAAGAAACAGGCTCTTCACTCAGAGTCGCGACTAACAACATTACTACAGAAACAAACCTCCACTTCTCGGATCCAGACAGTTTTTTCTAGCAGTACACATCCTACTGTAACAAACTGATAGAGAGCAGAATCAGGTAACCAGTCATTAAACAAAACAGTGAATCACCCTGAAACCCACATGTTCTCTTAGGAAGACGTCTATTTATATGGCCAATAAGTATTATTAATCTGACCAAAATGCATTCCACCCACTGTTTTAATGAGGCATAGGTGTGAACTGACTGATATATCCTACCGTCAATCACTATAAAAATAATCTTTATGAGTAAAGCCTTTGGGGAAAAAAATCAACATCCTTTATATGAATAGTATTTATTTTTGGTAACATGCATGTTTTTTCTTACTTTTTCTTCCAAACAGCTTTTTACTCGTACATGCAGCTTTCCTGATTATATGACCTTGTGTGTATCTTTATTATTATCTATATTTATCTATGTGGGAGGATAATTCACAAATTAAACTCCACATTGTTTTTAACAGGACTTAAATATATCCATCGAGACTATAAACTCATCAAAAAATGTCTTTACTGAGTTCATAAATTAAATTAAAAGTAGGGTCAATTCCTTATAGACTTTTATATATTAGACTGGTTATGCAACCAGAAGGAGTCGCCCCCTCCTGGCCATTGGAAAGAGACACCTATGCAGAGACTTGAATTTCAGACCCTGGGTTTTATGTATCTTATGTGTCCAGCACAAATGAATTTTCACTTACTGACAAGTGTTTTAAGCCTGTCATTGTCAGTTATATTTACATTTACACAAAGATTGTTCTGATCAGATAAATTACTGTTTATATATTAGCTTTATATATTGCCTGAAAAGTCTGCTCCAGTCTCCAAGGGGTGCTCTAAGAGGGGATCTGGCTTTCACAGAGCCCCGATCTGAACATGGTGGACTTAGTCTGGGATTATATTAACAGAATCAACTTAAAAACTCAACCCCAAAGCTTTGTTTTTAAAGATTCTTTGAACAACACCTGCAAAGGACTCAAAAAATTAACATGCAAGTGGACCTAGGAGAATTAGGGCTCAAATACTGAATTTATTTTATTTCATGTTGTTTATCATTAGTTTGACAATTAGAATGAATCACATTCATTAAAGCACCTTCCAGCATTTGCATGTGTAATTGAAGGTATTAAGAGAATATTCCTGCATCTGCTTTTATAATTAAAGCTCCTGAGAGGCTTTCTGAAGCACAATAATAAACAGAAAAACATTTCTGAATGGAGTTTTTAACAGATATCTTTATAAATGTTCCTTAATTATAGTGCAATATTAATCTCTTAATACACAAGTAATTAATAAATGGATAAATATACCCTACTAATAATTTCCCATAAAGCCAAAGGCCGTTCTTACCTCTGTAGATGGTGGGAAGGGGCAGTGAGGACAGGCCCTGGCTTTGCATCTGCTGCTGCTGCTGGAGTCTCCTTTTAGCTTCCAGGACTGGGTTCTCAAACTGGGTCCTTCTATTTATATGACTGAGATGATAACACCAGAAAAAAAAAAGAGGAGATTTTAGATCTCACACTACACCAGCACACCTATCTCAGCCCCTTCTTGGAAAAGATCAGATCTAACAAACGTAGCACTACAGCAGCCATAACTATGATGATTAATTGAATGGCCAGTTCCCAGATTATGTAACAGCCACAGAACAGTTCTGCTGAGTAAAAAAGAACAAACGATTGATTTCTTCCGTAATTCAACTCGTCTTGTAACCAGAATTATGTGAATCAGTGACTGGGAGTAACCCTGCACATGGAACAGCGATTTCCTTTAATGTCCTACGTTGATCTTAATTTAGTATGTACAGGGGGGAGATAGTCACTGACTACAAATGCTGTAATTTGCCAGTGTGAAATAATTAGTCATCATTAGATACTTCTCTCCATATTTAAGACTCACACACACACACACACACACACACACACACACACACACACACACACACACACCAACACACACACACCTCCCCCAGCCACTGAGGAGAGGAGGATCTGAGGCTTTGTGAAATACCAAACATACCAGAGAAGCCACATGAGAGGGAAAAGGCAGCTTTTGAGAAGCCCTCAAAAGACCCACACACACACACACACACCCACACGTGCACGAGCTCACTGAGGCACAAGGGCTTGCAGTTGTTACAGGAATCATGCTTTTCACACACACGTGCACAAACGCTTGCACGCAGCACTAACATGATGTACAGGCAGATTGACAGAATTCACACAAATCACACGCAAACATACAAATACGCACACAAACACATGCGCACGCACACTCGTACAGACTTCCTCCCTAATCAGCTCAGTGGTGTAGCATTTGGATAAGAAGCGCTCCTAAGACTCCTTGACAATGGTGAGACAGGAGAGCTTACATTGTATTAAACCAGACAAACCGTACACAAGCATCCTTCAAGCTAAGCACTGCTGCTAACCTGCCGTCTGAAGA